CACATAAGAGAGCAGCTAGCTCAGTCGGCTAATCTGATGGTCTGTCTCTTATACACATCTAGATGTGTATAAGAGACAGGGCCTAATGTCAGTAGGGGAAGTAATGTCCTTGTAGGACTGGCTACTAAAATTTGAAGAGAAGTGTTCATTAAAGGATTGGGCAATTTTACTCGGATCGTCAGTATAAGATTCATTAATTTTAAAACTTGTGGTTGTCGGCTTTGCTCTACAACTCCTTACATAAGACCAGAAGGCCTTGTTGTTTTTGGGGTTACATTTGTTTATAATTTTGGTGATGTAGTCACGATACGAAGACTTAATTAAGTAACATAGGTGATTTCTAACAGACTTAAAGTCATTCCATTTAGTCTATGCATGGGATTTAAGAAGGTTTTTAGCTTTAATTGCAGCTTTATATAACCTGGATTTCCTCCTGGACAATTTTAAGATTTCTACAGTAATCCAAGGTTTCTTTGGTTTGGAGCGAGACTTGCGCAAAGGAACAGCGTTATAAATGTTTGAATGGAATATTGATTTAAATTCAGACCAGATTTCATTAATGTCTTCATTCAAAACTTCTTTGTGTTGCATTTAGTTTTTGTTCGATCTTCTTAGTCATTGCCCATGTCTCTGCTCCGTAGGTCATAGAATGTAGTATCTGTCTCTTATACACATCTAGATGTGTATAAGAGACAACAATAATAATAACTACAATAATTTTAATTACAATTACCAGCATAATAATTATTATAAATATTAAACAATCACACAAACAAATAAAAAAGTACACAAAAAATTTGATCAGAAATAGGAAAACACCCTGAACCAAACCCTGCCCCCACTTCACAAACCAACAAACACCAAAAAGAGAAAATTATTATGATGCAATATTATCATGATGTAATATACAGCAACGGACTGTTGTAGCGTAACTCACGATCGTGACTGGTCATCTGTATCTCTAATCAATTGAATTCTAACAAGAAGGTACTGTAATTGAAGTAAAAAAAACATATATATATTTTTAAAATAAATCGATAAATATGAATATGAATAACAAAGTAATTTGTCATGGTCTCAGGAAATCGAAGTCCTGACCTTAACAGCGTCTTAAGCACTTTAATTTTATTATATACACTCCAAAAACTGTGCCAAAAATCGATTTAAATTTCTTTTAATTTTGTATATTGCCAAATGTTTATATAAAAAATAAATAAAATTGATGTTGACATGTCAAAGCTCTTAATTCACAGTCTACAACATAATGATAATTTTATATTTCTACGCCGTGCGTTAGGTAGAACAATGCATTTAGGTTTACAACTGTCATTCCTTATCTCTTTGACAAATTACCCTGTTGTACTAAAGATTATCTGGCAATTAGTTTTAACATTTTTATTGAAGGGGTCGAACTATACCAAATCTAGTCCTAGTTTTAATTAAAATAATTTCATTATTTTAATTGTAACAAAAATATTTGTATTGCTTTTTAGTGATTTAAAAATGATTATTGTATACTTCTGCTATACTAAGATAATCTGGCAATTCAGGGGCGGACCCAGTAGGGGCATGGGGGTAGCCACCCGCTTTGCCACTAAATTTTAAAAATTGCTTTGTGCTACTCACTCATCTATTCTGAACCCACGTGTGAACAATCCTGGATCCTCCCCTGGCAATATTTTATCTTCCCGGCACGTACGTCTCGTCGTCGTATTCAACAAATACTGAGGGCGCACTTGGTTGTTGAAATGCAGCCGAATGCAGAATGATGACATCGAGTGCAAACGCGACCTGGGGATAACAATTATGAAGATGAGAATCTTGTTTTGTCGGTACTGCTTAGGTTAAATTTTCTGCAACTTTCAGTAGATTGCATCATCAGTTACTATAAAAAGAAGAACAAGCCGCACGGCAGAGTATTTTGATGCAAACCTACTACCTAGTTATCCAGGTCATTGTTCAATGGAATAAGTTAACAGCTGGCTAGCTACCTACTACTAGGCCTATCGCATGAGTGAGATGTAATCTTCGCAGCGTCGGCTGTACTCATCCTGCATACGTGGTTTCAAGGTTGCCCTCTCGACAGCAGCCTAGGCCGGAGCCTAGCCTAGCTAGCTAGGTTTACTCTTTAATGAAGTAATACTTTTATTAGCAGAAAAAATACACGAAATTTGTTTAGTGTGTACGTAAAATTTCATTGTTAACTGTTGACAATTGGTTGCTAACAAATTATTAAGCAGAACAAAACAGGAGCCTGAATTGAATGAAGTTGAACCATGATTTAACTCAGACTGAATTGACGTTTGTGTGATTAAAGACTGACTATTTAAGTCTATGGGAGTGCATCGCCAACTGAGGTTGTTTCGGACGATATATTTTACAATATTTTGCTTCAAATGTAGGACGTTCTAAAGCAATTCTGAATAGGTGATTATTATAGAACTAAGGCCTATCAATATCATTACATTGTTAATTCTTCTACTATTCTACATCAAGCATTTTTCATCAACAAGCAGCTGATTTAAATTATAAATATCCTAGGCCCCACCTGTTCTACATTCAAAATGTGTGCAGCAATTGTAACTAACTTTATGCCAGACTCGATGAGTCCAGAACTTCTGCAGTCCCCAACAACTCCAGACATGCCCGAGAAGGCGGCTAGCCTCTTTGCTCCTGATGACGCTGATCTTGTTGGCAAAGACAGCCATATATTGGCACAAAATTCTTCTAAGGTAAGTAAAAAAAAAGATATTAAGAACAGTTTTCATATCGTCATGAATATAATAATAGTTGTATCACTGCTGCTAAAAGAACTTAGGAGTAAAAAGTTAATAAATGATCTGAAACTGAACCATCAAGGCCTTAGGCCTAAAGTGATTTGTGGGCAAGTTTGTTTGAACCATCATTGATGCTTACCTTACATAGGCTTAGGCCTAGATCCTATTGAATATAAAGTTTTTGGATCGGAAAGGCTACTGAACTGATCAGAAAATAGAATGTAAGTAAAGGCAGATTGATAGGCCTACTAGGCTCAGTCCTACTATTTATTTTCTTTTTTTTTTTAATTTTCAGTAGTTATAAAACACTCATAAAAGTTCAAAAATTTGTGGGTTTATAGTGCCTAGCTAATTTTGAAATATGAAACCGAATGCACAAAACAATACAATAACAAATATTACCAGCCTCCAGTAAAGTTTAAGGAAAGAAATAATTATTAAACAACAGTGTAAATAATATGCTATTATAAAAAAAACACTACATGCTTCATGGAACCACGATTGAACATACTGTTATTACTCACTGTGCATTTTTACCATGTCATATTACCGTTATAGCCATAGAATTCTAGTCAGTGGTTTTGTGACTAACAGTATAATAATTTTTTTAATTGGGAACCAGGTATGAAGCTCCATGGATATAAACTTTTTAGTAGGCCTACAATTCATAACATTAACCAGGACTGCCCATTAACTGTGAAGACAACTAGTTTTAAAAGTAAATGTACGAGCAGAATGAAGACACTTCCTTACCTTTGTTCTGCTGGATTATGCCAATGCATAGTAATTAGGCCCATTAACTGAGTTTATAAACAATTGATAATCAATTGGTTTAATCCAACTACATAGTATATCGAACCATAAGTTCCGTATTTTATGAATGATAATAACTGTTTATTGTTACCAACAAACACTATCATGTTTGCTCTAATTTGGCTCGAATTTCTCTCGCAAAACTCTCCGGAGTAGGCTTAATTAGTGTTTTAGTTTTCATACTGTTTTAAGACATTTTATTAATGTTTTAAATTTTCAGTTCAGTTTTTCCTTTTTATTATTCATTGTCAATTAGTGTCTTTATGCACCTTCTTGTTAAGCTTTGGGGCACTGTATGTATACAGTTTATATTTTTGTCATATGCTAAGCAATACAATTTTCTGTATATACATTTTTATATGGACAAATTAATAACATTTTTTGAATCCTGAATATTGTCTTACAAAGCTTACAAAGTTAGTATATATATAATTTTAAATTTACTTCTACTAATAAACTAGTAGTTTACCTAAAAGTACAGTACTTCAAATAACTTTAGTGAAGATACTGTAAAAGTGAAACATGGTTGGAAACCTGTAAATTAAAAAATTATTTGACCAAATAAAAAAATATAATTTTAATGATGGATTTACAATTGATAATTTTTTTTTCCATTTTGCACTGCAGTACGTAATAGTTTAAACTTTGTCAGTGCTCAGGAAATAGCCTTGTATTGTAGTTTTGAGTCACAGCACTACTTTTGATGATGCAGTGTTGTGCAATAGTTGAAACATTTCAAGCATCTCAGACTTACTAACTGTACTCGACTATCTACCATGTATCCTCAGGGGTTATTAGGGCAATAAAAAAAGAGCTTTACATGCTGAAGCCTAACCGACCCTAGTATCTGGAAAATTTACAGTCAGGTTTTTTGTTTGTATTTTTTTTTTTAAATCGAAAATGACATTTGACATTACATCATAACATTACTTTCAAGGTTGTAACAGTACGTGCCAAAAGGCTGTCCCCTGTATTACCCAAAATACTGTATCTAGCTACGGCCAAGTAAAAAAGAAAAGTAGTTTCTCATCAATATTTTGAAAAAAGGAGAATAAAAAGTGCACTTTTTTTTTTTAACTCCGAGATGGCAAATTCCAGATGGTCAATGGGAAACAGCTAACTACTTTCTCACTTTCTCACCGAGTATATAGACACATTGAAAGCAAATAAAAGAAGCACAAGACATGATTCATACCATTTCTATGTATCCCCAACCACGAACGATCAAGGGAAGAATTTTACTGATCTGAGCTACTGTAGCTAGATTTTCATACATTTTGTAAAATAAAAAGAAATAAAAAAATGTTGGTAAGACAGAGAAAATGGATGCGCGAGGGAACGAGAAACCAGTCTTTTTTTTATTTGACCTAAAATGATAATATTTATTTTTCATGATATTACATAATGTGTGTGTGTGTGTGTTTTAAATCAGTGCTGCAAGCAACATATATTTTCAAGGTGTTTTTTTTTTTTTTTTCAGAACCGGGCTTTAGGACTTAGTATAGTAATGTACTGCATGGTCTCTATAGATTTTAATTACTAAAAAGAAAAATGATTGTAAATGTTGATGCTTTACTCGCAGGAAGTTTGTGTCACATGACTTCATTTGATGATGGCTGTGTGTCTTCTTCTAATAAAGTGTAGAACTTGGTACAGTAGGCTCATGAAATTTGAAGACAGGGTGTACAAAAAGCCTGAGGGGTGCAAAAGAAGGGGTTGTAGGTAGCCTTGGTCAGGGTCACGTATAGAAAAAATCCCTGGTTTTGTTCATGTTGAGAAATTTTAGTGCTTTAATAGGAGGTGACCTAAAATTGTGCTTTCTTCAGGTAATGGGTAATTGCTGTTTAATACCGCGTTCGCATGCGAACAAACTGCTTAAGAGCGGTTTTTGTCGTGGGTGACCCACGACAAGCCGCTCTCGATCGACTATCGATGCTGCTTGCTCTCGATCAGATCAGTAGGATCAAAAATCGCAGGCCTAGCATCCAATTGGTAATGTGACGTTAATTTATTTCTGGTCGCCTCGAAAGCGGCAGCAAATGCAGTTTGGCCTTTTTTTTTATCTAACACAATCTCGCTCACGACCCAGCGCCTGAGCCGCTCGCAATTGATGGAGATATGTGAACGTGACTTGTATAACTCCGTGTTTAGAACATAGATAATTATTTATTGATTGTATAATTTATTTTAAAAGCTTTCTTTAACCAGGGGTTATCCATTCAGTGACTAACAGTAGCACTGTTTTCTAAGGAAGCCCTGGTACTGTATATACAGTATAATATAACAAAAAATATAAAACAATAATGAAATTCCAAAGTAAGTATAGTAAATCAAAAAACAGTGATGAGATAATCTAAAACTGAAATGAAAGCAGACAAATGAAAACTATCAAACCAAAATTAAACAAAAGGGAAAAGTACTGTACATTACAGTATTACTGAATACAGATAGAGGCCCCTTTTTTAAACATAATTAATTAAAAGAGAATAAAAATTGTTACGAATGTTGAGATAAAGATTGTTCCAAAGATGAGCAGCTCTGGTATGAAATTGACAATGTACCTGTAATTCCATGTTCAGGTCATTGTACAATGTAACTACATGTTCAGACCTCAACATTATGGATTGGCAAAACACAAGTACTCTGTTTGGATAACACCAATACAGTACTATTATTATTACAGTACAGTATTATTATTTGAATAATTGTTTTGTATAACTTTTAGTTTCTTTTAGTTTAGTTGTTTTTTCTTTCTCATTGAACGCACCAAATTGTTGTGTGCTACTGAAACAAAAGTGTACCGTATGTTTAGTTGAATAAATAAATAAATATGTAGCCTAAAAACCCTGTTATTGGGGTCCATGCTTGTCCGACGGGAGATAATTTACCCCTAACCATTGTTAAAAAATGAATTCCAATAATATGAATAGGTTTGGCAACCTGCTTTGAGCAAGGGCTTTTTTTGGTCATTATTTTTGGATACCAGAATGATGGGCCAACAATTGATTTTAATCCGTTCTGATCTTTCTGCAACTTCTATTGTTTATATTAGACAATTAGCCTTTCGACCCAATGTACATTATTGTCATGCTGTATCCAGTATTACTGTAGTAGCTAGAATCCATTTGCAAGGGTGGCAATGAAGGTGAATTGTTTTCATTTAAAGATGCTAATGTCAAAAATTAGTTTGAAATAAACTTGCTCATTTTGCAATAACATACAAATTATTAACTTGTGCATAGAAATTATTGAATTAAAAAAATGTATACCTGATTTTTAAACCGACACATTATAATTTATTTGAATAATTGTTTTGTATAACTTTTAGTTTCTTTTAGTTTAGTTGTTTTTTCTTTCTCATTGAACGCACCAAATTGTTGTGTGCTACTGAAACAAAAGTGTATGTTCAGTTGAATAAATAAATATGTAGCCTGAACTGGAAGTGTTTCTTCCATTTTACACTGTAAACTGATGGGTAGACATTTTTAAAAAAACACTAATTTCTATGTTTTTTGATAACATTTATGTTACTTCAAAATAGGCGAGTTAATTTCAAAAAATATTTTTATGATTTTTTTTTATATTTAGCATGGGACAATACCATCTTTAATAGTGCAGATGTTCCATTGACTTGGACTACACAGATCTACATTTGCTATGAAGGTTTTCCAAATCATTGGTTTTACCATTGAGGAATTTCAGTAGGCTGATGATAATCACTATAGATGATAATTTAATATCCAATGTTGAGCACTAAATTAAATTCATTATTTACTTTTTAAAAATAAAATTACTACCTTTTTAAAATTGAAAATTTAACATCAAAATATTTTCCTCATCGATAACAGATGAATAATGATACCTCTATTTATTTAATAGACCCTTTTTTGAGTGGTAAAGTATGGTTTTTTATGTCTATCAGTACTGTAAAAATTATTATAGACTGTACTGTAATTTGGAATTTGAATTATTGCACTGGTAGTAGGCCTTACTATTTTTTCTTATCGAGTCACTACATACTGTAGCTAGCGTGTATCATCTTGATTACATAGTATGTTAGAAGGATTTGCAGGTAGGATGGACCTGGCATGGGCCGCGATGTAAACGCTCCTTCTGTGACTGGACAGGGACTGGAAATGGACCAGTACACTGGGGTAACCCCCTACTCTTCTTGAATGATGTACTTGGTTCTTTATTTCACGGGTCTTAACTGTTCGGCCAACCGGCCTTACTGTGATTGTCTATACAAAGTATATGAAATTTTGACCAAAAATACATCCACAACACTATCATTTTATTTTTGATATTTATGTTTTATGGATATTTCTATATTTTATTTTTTATTTATCGATTTTTCCATTTAGACACGATTTGTTAGCCCAAGTGTGAAAAAAAAATATTAAACTTTATTTTTAACGTTTTATTGATATTTCTATATTTTATTTTATATTTATGAATTTTTCCATATAGACACGATTTGTTAGTCCAAGTGAGGAGATATTCGATCACCTGAAAAAACAATTGGAGCAGCGACTGTGTGACGGCAATGGCGAGGCCATATATGAACTCGGACAAGGAGGTAAGGGTATGGTGCATTATTGGTAATTAATGTGTTCATTATGGATCATCATTACACTCTATTCGTCGAGCATGTTCGTCTACCATCTTACAGTACCAATTACTAACTGTAAAATCAATGAAATGAAATAAAAAAGAAATTAATTCATACTTTAAAATTTTTAAGTATTTGATTTAGTTTGCAGTATATCTGTGTGATTAAAAGACATTGGTGTAGGCTTTGGGTGTGGGGGATGCTGATGTACCCCCACATTATGAAATTGTGTATGGTAACCAAAAGTAAACGTTAATTCCTACTAGCTATGTGTTTTTGGAGAACTGGCTACATGGGGTTAACATGTTGGTAATGTTCACATCTATTGACTCCATTAAATTTTTGTTGTGATACTTAAATGACGGTCTGCATGCATTTAATTCTAGCGTTTCGTCGTTGAGTGAATAGACTATAGGCGTGAGTATTACTTGGTCCCGACAATAGATAAATAAATAGATAAATAAATAAATAAAAAAAAAAAATGAAAGTTTGAATCATTTAAGTAGGGATTTAATTCTGCTTTCTAAATTGTCACACCACCCCTACCCCAAACAGTCTTTGCCCTTGAAAGTCTTCCTGTGTATTTATGTATATGAATAATTACCAACATTGTTTATGATTGCCAAGGAGATGGAACTGAAGACGGCCTATCAGAAGAAGACATGGCAGCGTCCATAGCAACATTAAAAAGCATGGCAGAGACTCTGAATGCAGATGTGGTGTTGCTACGGGAACGCCAAGTGAACAGCAAGGCAGTCCAAGAGCTTCTCATCAGGGCAAGAGCAGAAGAGGAGGATTTTCTAGAAGTCAGGTGAGATGAATCCTTTGTGCTGATTGGCCAAAGAAAAGAGCAATATATTGGTACCATTCCAATTTATCTCCAGTGTATAATACTGAAAGGTCCACTGATTAATCTCAGATAAGAAAGTATAATACATACTCCAAGTATTGAAATACACGCCATCGTGTTGAGATTCAATATTTCGACATTAATTATGTCATCATCAGGAATGATGACATAATTGATGATGCATTTGAATTTTTTTTGCGTATGCTTCAGAGTTGCTGTTGTCGGTAATGTTGATGCTGGTAAGAGCACTCTCCTCGGCGTCCTCACCCACGGGGAGCTAGACAATGGTAGAGGATTGGCACGACAGCGGCTGTTCCGGCACAAACACGAGATGGAGTCAGGACGGACCAGCAGTGTGGGCAATGACATCCTTGGCTTTGATAGCCAAGGACAAGTTGTAAACAAGCCAGATTCTCACGGTAAGTCTTTACTAAACGATTGTGGGAGCAATTTTGTAGCAGTGGCAATAAGGTCGGTGTTTAAATCCCAACCATGTCTTTGATTGATTTTGTTCGAGCAAGATAATTTATTTAAGTTAAAGTCTCTTTATCCAAGATTTAGATTAGTACCTGTATGAACATGAATGTTCTATGTTGCATGTACTGTTTCTCTAAGATAAATATTTACGTTACCTGTGGGTAATTTTTTGAATTTCTAGTGCGCCCGTGCAAAAATTATATGTGGAGACGACTACCCCATTGCTTAGGGAATTCAGCTAGGAGAGCGTTGCATATATTTATGAACCCTAGGTTAACAATCAGGCTATATTTACTTGATGAGAGGTAGGAATGGTAAAGGTGTGTGAGATGCTTTGTTTCATCAGCAACTGTAGGCTTTAGTGACAATTTAATATAAAGATTCAAAATCAAGAAAAAATATACAGAGTTCAGGATCCACTTTAGACCAGTCTCTATTTATATAACAGATAGTGTTCAACAAACAGGGCTTCCTCTAATTAAAGACCCCTCTTCAATGAAGGACCACCTCCAATTTAGGACCAAAGCTGATAAAGACTAAAATCTCTGGTCCCTAAAAGTGGTCTTTAATTGGAGGGAGACAAGAGCCTTTCAGCTGAAACACAAAAAGAGGCTGACCACTCTAGAAATAATTGATGGACATATGAAGGGATGGATTTAATTAAATTATTAATTGACATGCAATTATACATTAGCATGTGTGTATTTATTTTTGTTGAGCAAACATTTAAACACGATATATTTTATATCCGCAATTAGGAGAGCTCTCTAATTCCAGATAATAGGAAGTGCTTATGTAAATGATATAAAATAAATAATAAATAATATCAATTTTATGGTCTATAATACATTCATGACATATAGTATATTTTTGAGAATGTTATTTTTTCCTCAAATTTTAACACATTCATATCACATTTCTATGCATATTTGATAGTTTGTATTACTGATTCAGCTATAATGAAAATATAGTTTAACAAGTATTTGGCCAGGTGTGCATCTCTAGGTTTAAATAGCATCATTGTTTGATGTATTATCTTTTCAGGCAACTAATGCAAATATAATTGTTATTGCCTGATCAGGAAGTAATTGTATAGGCTATATATTTTGAAATTCAGAAAAGTCTTTTAAAACATCAATAGCATCAATATGTGTATAAAAAAGAATGAAATAATTTCCAATAAAATGAGATACAGATTCAGGGTTCTCACCAGCTTGTCACGAGTGCCAGTCTGGGGAGTGGGATATTACCCAAACCCCCTGGATAGTGCACCCTCATTTGTCAATGATCGTTTCATGCCCGAAAACTTCAAACACAGTCGTCGATCCAAGGCCACACTGTCACACAACACAATGCTAGGCCTAGCCTAACTAAGGCCAAACAAGGCAGGCCTAGCCTAGCTTAGCCTTAGTTAGAATAGGAGTAATGTGCACTGTTGCAACAATTGAGTTTTTGTTGATATACAGTTTCGACTATGAAAAGCCTTTAAATTGATAACATTAATTTAAGGCTCTGCAAAGCATACTGGAAAGGAATTATTTATGTGTGGGAACACTGCAAAGACAATTTTCACATTTGCTGACTTCCTTTTTAACTACACTGTATATATAGTTTATAATGCTTCTTTAAAATCAGCTATGAAAACACCTGTTTGACACTTATTCTTTTAAACATGCACTAAAAAGTTTTCTTAATTTAAAAAAAATTTAATTTAATGGTCTTCAATTGATAAGTCAACCAAAGGTCGAGCACCTCAAACTTCTAGTAATATCTCATGGTCATGATCTTCTAGTTCAAATGAATTTGCTGGTTTTTTTTACAGTTTTAATGTTTTTAATATGATAATCTGTACTGTATTAAATTTGTTTTGCATTGTTTAAATGTTACTTTGAGAGTAAGGGCAAACCTTAACTTTTGTTACAGTGATTAATTAGTTCACTTTTAGGTTCCTAGCTGCCCTTGAGTTGACTGTCATTGTGTTTGTTTATGTTCTTGATTTTGGCTGTAAAGAATAAAAAGAATTAGAATATTTATGGTTTTTATATACCCTATTTTGTATCTTCAACAGGTGGTAATTTGGATTGGGTTCGAATCTGCGAAGAATCTTCTAAAGTGATTACTTTCATAGATTTAGCTGGACATGAGAAATACTTGAAAACTACTGTTTTTGGAATGACCGGGCATGTACCTGACTTTGGCATGCTGATGGTTAGTTGTCTCCTAGTTTTACAGACCATATGGGGCTTGCCAAAACCAACCATAATTGAATTAAAAAAAAAAAAAAAATGACTTTTTTTTGTTCATTTATCGGAATTGACTTGAATTCTATTGGATTGGATTTATTCTGTGTAAACACCAAGGATAGTCCATGAAAGTCTAGAAGAAGACTTATTTCCAGTGGGGTCTTTCTGGTGGTGATTGGGCAGTACACCGGGAGACAATCCCCTACTCTTTTCCGAAGAGTGTACTGCGTCCATTAAGGTGCACATAGGCCATAAATGCAAACGAGACCAACGGCTTAAACGTCTCATCCGAAAGACAGTGCGCTGTTATAACTTATAATTTCAGCCCTCCAGCTGAAATACAGGGAGAGGCAGCTATGGGAATTGAATCGGCGACCTAAAGATCTACACGATTCAGCCCACACACAGTGGCTACCACCAGATTAGCCGACTGAGCTAAGCCGACTGAGCTAAGCTGCTTACTATTCCGGGGTGGCCCGGGGGACCAGAACCCCCTTTGGGGAGAAAAACAACAATTTGTTGGGGAGAAGAAAAACGATACGTATTTTCTACATATTAGTAGATTCAAAATTGATTAAAATAAGCCTTTGAAACACCATAATTGTCATCTTTATGACTTATACTCTACTCAGACTACTCTGTTGTAATCGGTTGCGATGTAATTGATGGTAATCCAAAACTGATTACTCCCAATCGCAATCAACGAGTGCATTCAGACCAACACGAAACAACTTTACATTCTAGGGCCTTGGCCTCTGGTGGCCAGGCCTATTTTGACTGACCTCAGCCAAACAGTGCCTGTGGAATTTGTTGTGATTCGTTGCAATCGGATTCTGTGGTGATTGAGAGTAATGAAGATTGTAGCACCCAATCGCAAAGGGTGACAATTGCAATATCGATTATTGATCGACTACTTTGGTGAGCTTTCACACACGATTTTACTTTGCGATTGGGTGTCTCAATTGCTACAACTGATCCCAATGCAGGAGTCGTAGCTGTATCACTGGATGTGAAAGTGATTTAAATAATTAAGTCTTGGACTTCTAAAACTTACTTTTTATTAATTATAATTCATTGTTTTTTCTAGTAATGAAATTATAAGTGATTTATGTGATAAAGGTTTTATACTTACAGTGATTAATTAATTTAATAATTTCACATGAAATAAGAAGCACTGTACACTCACCACTTACAGGATGTAAAGATGTTTTATTAGATTAAACTGTTTATGAGGCTTTGGGAGTGGAGCTGTTTTTTAGATGCGAGAAGAACATTTTAGTGGTAGATTTTGGACTCTGATAGAAACCAAAAAGCATCTAAACCACCAAGCTCCATCTCCATTTGACGATGGTGATTATACTAATGATGGTGATGGTGGTGGTGGTGGTAGTAGATGATGAATAGTGGTGGAAACAAATATGATACTGATGATAATGATTATGATAAGTTGAAGATACTGGTAACAACAATGACCATTGAATGATTATACTACAGTTTGACTGTCAGAAGAGTTGTTAAATTTTTGTTTTCATTACATACAGATTGGAAGCAATGCTGGTATTATAGGAATGACCAAAGAGCATCTTGGGCTAGCATTAGCGTTGAATGTTCCCATTTTTGTTGTAGTAACCAAGATTGATATGTGCCCTCCTAATGTCCTCCAAGATACCTTAAAATTGCTGCTAAGAATTCTCAAATCTCCCGGGTGCAGGAAAATACCAGTGCTAGTTAACAGTCAAGATGATGTCGTCACATCTGCAACCAACTTTAGCTCAGAAAGGTATGATAGCAGCACCATGCTTATTATGGTCATTATCATCATCGTCGTCATCATTATCATCATCATCATCATCATCATCATCATCATCATCATCATCATCTTCTTCTTAGACACCCATCTGTTTTAAAGTCATTGTTTTCTGATCAACAGTGGGAAAACCAGATTACTTTTTTTGATGAGATTCTTCCATAATGATTATTTAGTTTTACAGAAACACCTTTTTGGCAGGATTTCTGTAACACCTGTTTGGCAGGCTTTCTGAAACACCTGTTTTGCAGGTTTTCTGAAGCACCTGTTTAACAGGTTTTCACCATCAGGGGGAAACTTAGTGACATATTTATGGTTTTGGGACCTTGCTATGATTATTATTTTGTTATTTAGAACATCTGTAGTCTGGAGAACCAGGTGATATATATTATATGTTGTGAGATCTTTTTGAAATGATTATTGTTTTGTGTCTTGCAGAGTTTGTCCAATCTTCCAAGTGTCAAATGTTACTGGTGAGAATCTGGATTATCTGAAGATGTTCCTGAACCTCCTGACAACTAGAATGAAATGCGATGAGAGTGATCCAGCTGAGTTCCAAATAGATGACACTTACTCTGTTCCAGTATGTTCGTCTTTTAACTTTTAATATTCTTTTACTTCAGACTTGTGTCTTCACTTTTCATGGATAGTTATGGTTGTCATAATGTTTATGGTAATCATGGTAATGGTATTGTCGGTGGTGGTAATCTTTATTCATGGTACCAATAGTGGTAATATGTTGGCATTGCTGATGTTAGTCTTTAATTGTCATAACAATGATGGTTGTGCTTCCATTGCTTTAACGTTAATGATGTGGTGTTGATAATGGAAATGATGATAATGTTGATTTTATTTATGATCATGTGCATATTTAATTACAATCAAAATTTTTTAATAGTATTCGAAATAATGAATAAATATTTTTAACTGTCTATTAGGGTGTTGGCACTGTGGTCTCAGGGACAACTTTAAAAGGTGTAATACGTGTGAATGATACATTACTGCTAGGCCCAGATCCACTTGGTCAGTTCCAGTCAGTGATTGTGAAGAGTATACACCGTAAGAGAATGCCCGTTAAGGTGGTTAAGGCTGGGCAAACCGCCTCCTTTGCTCTTAAGAAGGTAAGTCTGTGTAGTATAGATAGGCATTCACATGGATGCAGTTTAGTAGGGGACATTTACCTAGCAGAGGGATACATTTAACCTTTTTTTTTATTCTTTTGGGAATTTGCTGCAAGACTCATTATGATGAATAAAGAGTGGTTTGAATTATTTTTAGTCATGAGAAATGATCCTGGGTTTTTACAGGTATTAAACTCTTGAACGTAGGGTGTGAAGACAAGCATCTTAACCACCAAGCCAGAGCCCTACTGTATACAAGCTATCCTACGTATCTATCCAAAATAAAATTAACTAAAATGTTTTTCGTTATTTCACTGTTAAGCTATAAAATTCACTGAATGGTGAACTAATTTAATTTTTTTTTACCAAACAATAGGCAAACTAAGGAATGCATCATGTATCAATATTTAATTAATTTTTACAATTTGTTTTTTTATAATTGTTTTTAAAATTTACTATTTTTGTCATTATCCAAATTTGGAATTTAATATTGTGGCTTGGCCCCTGAGAACCTGCGGTGGCATAATACGCCACTGGTACCATATCATTAATCTCACTCGCACCACCACATACCACCAAAGTGCTATAGTGCTAATTGAAGTTTGCACTAATCTGGAAGAAGAAGAAGTCATATTTTTTATACAAATTGAAGTTTTATTTATATTGATTAGCATTCATAATTATTATTATATATAAGATAAATATCTGTTTTCGTTTTTATTTCTATAGCAAATTAAGCGGTCCCATGTACGTAAAGGAATGGTGATGGTCTCACCACGTATGAAACCTGAGGCATGCTGGGAATTTGAGGGTGAAATTCTCGTCCTGCATCATCCAACAACGATTAGTGCACGGTATCAAGCTATGGGTAAGGATACTTTTCTTGTATATATATGAATAATGGAACATCTTTAAGCAAATTGTTTCATTATTGTTTTACTTACCTATACAATCTGCAGCCAATAGCCTTGTTCACACTATCAAAGTTTGTCTGACAGAAATGTGATATGTCTAAATATGGTCATGATGACATCACATCATGACCATATATAGGCAAATCATTACTTTATATGGGCATGCAACAGTATTTTTTTTTATGTTGCAGACAGAGCTTAGATTTAATGGCCTCAGAAAACATTTAATACCATAAAAAATTCAAAATAATTATGAAAAATATATATATTTTTTATTTTTAGGTATCAATTGATAACTGTTATTCATAACTAAAATATATACAACAGTATTGTCATTAGGTTGACGCTTGGAGGTTTTATACCACCATGGTTAATGGAAATGTACAAATATGACTTAATTAAAATTAAATTAGAAACTTACATTTAGTGGAGCTGTGACTTAGTGGTTAAGGTACATACCTTTTACTTCCAAGTTTCTAGGTTCAATCTGAATGTCTTAATTTTCCCCACTACCAAAGACAACTTCAATCCACAAGCCTCATGTAGTATTTATTGATCACTTTAGCATTGATGGTCCCAAATCATCAATTCTCAACTTTCTATTCCTCATACAGGCTTGGTTACTAATCATCGATGGTGCCTACTGATCAACCATCCAGCCTTATAAAGAAACATGCAACATCAAAAGCCGCAAATAATATAGATCGCCTTTATTTGCTAGTATAACAACTGTTTTTGTTTTTTTGTTTTCTTTCAAAATAGTACATTGTGGGAGTATACGGCAAACTGCTTCAATAATTTACATGAACAAGGAACATTTAAGAACAGGTGATAAGGCCATTGTTCATTTCCGCTTCATAAAGAACCCAGAGTTTATTCATGCGGACACTAGAATGGTTTTCAGGTAGTTATTTTCTTTTTGATGTATTTGAAAAATTATTGTCTTACTGGAGGGTACACCCTCCTAATACTATACTGTATAAATATGTTCAATAAATAAAAACATTTTATTTTATCTTTAGGGAAGGAAAGACCAAAGCTGTTGGTAGGATAGTAAAAGTGTTCCCCCATCTGCCGCCAATGGAGCAGAAACAGAAACAAAAGGCCGGGCGAGGTCGAGGTCACCACAATCACCATCACCATGGTACCCGCGGACAAGGATCTAGTCAAAACGTCAGTGATGGATTGCCATTAGGACAGACCAGTCCACAATACTATGCTCCAACTTACAGAGGGCAAGGTAGACGAGGAGGTGGAAGGCGAAGCAGGAATCGTAAGGCCAAAGATTCTCAAGAAGAAAGTGTTGGCCAGGATGTAGGCCCACATCAGTCAAGCATTGCAGCGCCAACGTCATAAAATATTTTTGGACTTTTAAAAAAGAAAAGTTGAGCAATTTTTTGAACTTGTAAAAGCTAACATTTGTGGAAAAATCTCAATTTTCGGATGGAAACATGAGATTTTCAACATTTTTATATCAAGTTGTTGGTATTTGATTATTGTGGTGTGAACTGTCCATTACAGAAATGGAAGATGTTTGTTGAACTTTCTGTGTTGAGAATCTGCAATCAGTATTAGGATTAAAATTAATATAATACTTACATTCGTTGAAACTTCGATGTTTTTCCCGTTTTTTTTATATTATGGTTTAAACATGTTTTAAATTAAAGTAACATTTTGACACTTATCTTCAGGTTTTAGATTTGTTAAAACTCTTTTGTTTTTGTTTAAGACAGGCAATAAATGTTGGTAGCTGTAATTGGTTGAACAGGTGTTGGTTGCCAGGCAATAAATGTTGGTAGCTGTAATTGGTTGAACAGGTGTTGGTTGCCAGGCAATAAATGTTGGTAGCTGTAATTGGTTGAACAGGTGTTGGTTGCCTGTGCTCTTGGCAGATTGGGCTTGAGGATAAGTTTTACTTAATTGGAACTTCTGTAAACTTAATTTTTTTAGTGTCTCCATAGTTTTATTCACCATTTGTTCTACTAACATGAACGACAAGTTTTACCATTTATTTATAATGAATATTATAATTATTTGATTGCGATTTTATATTAATGACCATAATTAAAATTGTGTACATTTCATGAAATTTAACAAAAATAAATGATTATTAAATTTATTCTGCAAGCATTTTTTTTTCATTGATTTGTAATCAAACTATAAATTTTACTCTATCCTTGTGTCTATAAAAACTGTCATTCATTCATTTTTATACACATCAGCCAATGGCGGGTGGGGTGGTAGAAAACATACAGCATTTGTTATAGTGAAAATTGTACTTTGCTAATGAATATTCATAGATTGTCTACAATAATTGTGCTTCTGGATGATTAGGTTGACAAGTTATATCTGCCATATTAATATAAATCTGGATGTACAGTATTATAAGCCAAGTATGGACAGTGACTATCATATCTGCATGTCTGTTATGAATATTCATAACATATATTTAAATGTTTAACACATGCTTTTTAACCCTAATTAAATATTCAAAACATGTCTACTTGAATATTCTCATGTCTCATTGCATTTAATTTCCTACACATTGTGTTGCATTTCACATTTATAATATGTTTTATTAACTATTCATGTTTATAATACACCTTAATAGATCTTTGTCATTTGATGGATTTCACTCATTGTGGAAATTTAGTTCCACTGTGCATTTGTAGTTCCATCCCTGTATTTTTTTATCCATCTGTTTTGTTCCATTGCACGCCTCAACCCAATGCAATCTTTTCATTTGTTCAAAAGATGCTGGACTCTTCCATTCCGAAAAAAGTTAGATATTTTTCATAAAATATCAAATTACAAGAATCTGTTTTAGGTGTGTTATAAATTCAGTCGATGGAAAGAATATTTTTTTTAATGATTTCATACATTACAAATTCTTGACTACCTTATGAATATTTATTTGTTAATACAAAGCTAGTTGAATATTCATGAGAAATTATATTGTTCATATGAAGTGCCACTGGGCATCTCATTGACCATGAATATTCTTGTTACCCCAGTAGGTTCCTATCGTGTGTGTGGATTTATTTTTGTACACAAGATTTTGGTATATAATGTGTTAACACAATAAGTGCTAACAAATCAAAGATATATTGTCATCTATTAATGTTTTGATCTTATAATAATATTTGGTATTTTGACACACGTTTGAATACACATTTTAAAACAATTTAAACTGTACAGCTAATGTTAATAGACCTGATACAATTAAAATTTAAATGCTGTGAAATGTATTTGTCATGTGTTATTATATTATATGAATGTAACTTGCAATAAAATTGACAATTTTGTACATTTCTGTGATATAGAGAGGGTGCTCTTCAATTTTAACATCTTTGCAAGAGGGCGCACTGTATTGTTACTTTACTATCTTTTAATCTCATACTGAGTTGAAAATAACCACGGAAAGATTCAATCTCAATATATTTGGTATCATACGATAGTTAATACAAAAAATACTAAGCTAACAACATTTTCGTCTTATACGTTCTCAAAAACTGACCACATACAAAATAAAACACCTATAAAGATTTCAGACATCCATTTTGTATTTCGTAGTATAACAGTATGTCAAAGGATTTATTGGTATCTTGTGTATTAAGTGCAAAATTTGACCCAAAAAAAAAAATACACGTTTTTACCCAGATAGCTGGTCCGTCACTAGAAGTTTCAATTCCAATATATTTGGTATCATACGAAAGCTATTAAAATTATCTATCGAATGATGAGTATATGATGACGCATTATGTTAATTTACCGAAAAATCCTCAGCAAAAAGAGCATGGAGAAAGAGATGTGATTAAACTGACTTTGTGCTGTTGTGTAAATGTTTTATGTTTTACTTCTTTTTACTTTACTGTACTCTGAATGTACAGTATCACATTGGTATGAACCTATTATGTACACGTGCAGTATGATGTATGTACTATGTGTTTATAATGTGTGTGTATATTTAAGTGTGTATAATGTGTAGGGGTGTGTGTGTGTATTAGAATAGGCTGCATAGGAAAATATAGGCACAGAAAAAAATGAAAAGCTGAATGTTTGAAAAACTTCATTTTTAATAAACCGACTGCCGAGGCAACATGATAATTTCAGTGTTTTAGTCTTTAAAAAATAATTAAAGTCTGAATAAAACCATAATCTTGCTGATTTTGTTAATTAATAGAAGACAACAAGTTATATTGAGAGCACACAACTGTCTACTTCTCGTAACCTTGTATAAACTGCACTTATAAATGCGTAAGGCCTAGGTTATTAAGCTAACAGTTAATTAGATAATAAAACTTAATTAATATAAGCCAAACATTTCCTCATTTCATTTGTAAAATTTTGCACTTTTCAGACAATACTATAATATACGTCTGAAAATGTGTTAACATTCTCATTTAATGTAAAACGTTGGTAAGCACAAAGGACATCAGGCTCCTGTGCCGATGAACAGAGACTCATAATTTTGGTGCCTAAACAAATTTAACGAATGTAATTGGTGCATCGGGTATATATACTGTGTTAAAACACTTCACTTGTACAGTATGACTTAAGAAGCAGTAATTTTACTGTTCCCTAGAAACAGCTGTTCTGTAATGTAATTGAAATAACCATACATCCATTTAAATCGGAACTTTTCGAAAGATATGACATTACTTAAAACAACATAGTTAGACATAGTTGAAAATATTCACCTGGCTTGTAAAAAGTGTGTTCGTGAGTTTTTCTTAAGCACTTAAATCCTTAAAATATTGAAAGACCATAATTTATTGCTTATAGTAGAGCAGCTGAGGGGCCAAGTTGGACATTTTAGTGCAGCAGCTAAGTGCAAAAAAAAAACAAAAACGGCGAAATTGTGCATTTTATTACCAAAGCATGAAACTTGGCACAAACTATCTTTGATATGTGTTGACACCTGCTGTGGAAGCCATTTTGAATTGAAAATGGCCGCCTTTAAAGACAAGATCAATATATCTTGGCAATGGAAAATCGTAGACCTAATTTTGGTCTCAAAGAGTTTGGAACATACATGTTTCTATTTGCTTTAATGTAATATTTTGTCCAAAAGTAACGGGAATTGGCATTTATAAACCTTGACTCTAGATACCCAGCATATCCGTATCTTTAAAACTGTTAGTCATAGAACGGAAAATCGTAGAGAGTTAATTTTGGCCTCAAATTGTTTAGAATATGCATGTTTTTGTACTAATGCAATGTTTTGTGCAAAAGTGACCGAAAATGATATTTATGACCTTTGACCAACACAACTTGCAGTATAACCTTATCTCTATAACCGTTAATCACAGAGGCCTTATTTTGGTATCAAATGTTCAGAACATGAATGTTTCTATTTACACTAATGCAACTTAAAAACCGAAAGGTCCACTAATTATTCAGATAAGATACTATTATACATACTCCAAGTATTAAAATGCACGCCATCGTGTTGGGATTCAATATTTCAGCATTAATTATGCCATCATCAGGAATACAAATGTCCGTCCAAAAGTGACCGGAAATTACGCTTCTGACCGTCGACCCTAGGCACCCGTATATTATATCTCAATAACTGTTGGTCATAGAGACCTAATTTTATCCTCAAATTGAGAATACCGTAAATGCTCGAATAAGCACCGCTCTCAAAGAATAAGCGCTGCACCAAACATGATTTTTATCGTTAAGCGCATACATACATATATATACATATATTATACATATATATACATTTATATATATATACATATATACATATATACATTATATGTATATATATATATAGTATGTATATATATATATATATATATATATATATATATCAAGTAATGGTGGTGCTGAATAGGCAATATACATAATAGTAAATAACAAGGCTTACAGAAGAGATAAATATCTTAAGAACCAACTTGTACGTTCATCCATCAACTCTACAGGTATAACCAAATGATCGACCACTCCGTGCAACAGGCCGAGATGCAACACTTGTGCCTACGTGTATTCTACTGACACTATCACTGGACCATCTGGACAAACCACGATTCATGACACCTTCTCATGCACTTCAGTCAATTTAATTTATGCTATTACCTCTCATAAATGTAATATTCTATACATCGGAGAAACTAAACGAAGAATGGCAGATAGATTCACTGAACACTTAAGATCCATAAAACATTAAGCAGCCAGGCCTTCCTGTTGCCTCTAATTTTGCTACTAACCACTCTCTAAAAGATATTACTATAACTGGCATTCAACTATGTAATGGGACTGATACAGTACGGAAGAAACAGGAAGAGCAACTTATCTACAGTCTAATTAGGTACTCTAGCTCCAGCAGGTATTAACGTATCATTTAAATCATTCAGAAACTAACTTGAACCTATAGGTTTCTAGTTTTTAAGATATCTTGATAATTTCTACTGATCCTATATTATTTTTTACTGATGCCTATGTATGTTACGTAGGTTTACAGCTCGTTATGGATTATAGGCCTATTACATTATATTTTATTATTTTCTTATTCATTTCCATTGATTTTATTATATACCAAATGAAGTTTATTTACATATTATCTGATTTGCTTTTTATTTGAAAAAGGCCTACTTTATATTTAGCATGTATTTTTTACTTCATGCTTTTTGCATTAATTCAGTTTGCTTCATTAATCTACTCCACCCAATTTACATTGGTTTTTTTTTTTTATTGTTAATACGATTTTTATTGAATGTTTTGTTTTGCTCCTGTTGTTTTATATGTAGCTATACCATTGGCTAATGTGTGTATCTTCAATCCATTTGGTTTTTCATGAGCCACTTCATGAGCTTCTGTTATGTATTTAATTCTATCTTACCATGTTTTACTCATAGCTTGATAAAGACTTATAGTCGAAAGTACTCGCTAGTTTTTAAATAAATGTTGTGGCATATATCTGATACCATCTGACTCGTTATTTACTCTATGTATATATATATATATATACACTTAGTTTAAGTACTGACAAGGTGCATCCATCCAGAAAATATTCAATTTGATATTAATTAGGCCTATATAATTAATATTACTTATAGTAAACCATTAGGACTAACTATTAAACTTGAATTTATAATATTGAAGAAAATACTAATCTTATAAACTCAAAATAATTATTTATCCATATAATGTAGTTAATTGGAACAATTCCAGCATGTTTCATCAGCATAGCGATAGCATTCAGTCTCGTCACCGTTAGCATGTTCATTGCGCAATATATGGGCTGTCTCTTATACACATCTAGATGTGTATAAGAGACAGATCGCATACAGAGGGCGGTATTTATTTATTTGCGAAGGAGGGTATCTCTGCCGAACAAAGCTGAGTTAAAAATCCACAGCGTTTTGTATGTTTTTGACTGGAGCACACTATGAAACAAATCGATGTGGCAAAAGCATTGCCTTTCGTTTTTCTTTTAGCCTATCAAATACATAATGGAACGATGGCTTCATTTCTTTCAAGAGCTCTAGGCTCAGAACACGCGGTGCTGTCGGTAAAGCATGTTCCAAAGGAGCCCAGGGTAGGCGACCACATGAATTGTTTTCTTGTAGTTTGTACTCTTGCAGGCCTAGCATATTTAGGCCTGCAGCAAGACGAATTAAACCAGGATATATCACTTTCCTGTGTAAAAAAGAAAACTATGATTGCTAATATTATTAATTTATAATGTTGATAAAATTGTACAGTATATGCTTTTTTAATCTAAGTTATTTAAAAAGTATTCATTTACTAGTTTTTTAGGCCTTTTGTTTTGTATTTTCCTGTTAGTTGGAGTGCGCCCTCACTTATAACAAAACTGCTGTGTATACTGTAGAGTTTCCTAATATAAATATATAATTATAATATATAATAAAAATATTTGACAATACTGTATTTTGATGTCGGCATAAATACAATTTTTAAATTTAAGTCATCACAGAATTCATTCGATAAGGCACGGATTTTCTTACTAAGGACTTTGGAAAATGTGCCGACATAAGGTAATTTGAAATAAAAAGTGATTGGTGTATTTTCTTTAGTGTTATCCAGTGTACTTTTGCATTACATTGAACTGAATTAACATAACGAAAAATAATTTGATCAATGAGGTATGAAGGAAAACAATTTCTCTTAAGGATGGTAGTTAATGCCTTGGTATCATAATGAAAGCCCCTCTAACCATTATTGATTTTAAAAGCCCTATCAACTAACGTGCGAATAAGACCGATTTTGTAACTGAAAACAAAAACTGAAAAAATTAGTAAGTAAACCGGTATATGATTTTTTCCTAAACACTGAGGTCTGAGGTGGCCCATCCTTAATGTTGGACACCAAGACGTCCAGGAAAGGAAGCTTTTTCATTACTTCTTTTTCCATGGTGAATTTAATGTTGGGATGGCGGGAGTTAAGGTAATCAAAAAATAAATGAGCATCCTTTTCTTCATTAAAAACACAAAAAATATCATCCGCATAACGTTGGTACAATAACACATGGGACCTTATACTGTTCATGCCAAATTTTCTCATGGTGTCCCATGAATAAGTTGGCGAGAACAGGGGCTAATGGGGAGCCCATAGCGACGCCGTCTATCTGGTCATAATAAACTTGGTTAAATAAAAAATGTGTTTGAGAAG